TTATGAGATTGATTTCTCGAGTCAAAGGCTGTGTGTTCAAATTCTGGCTCTGCCCATAACTGGACACACTGATGATAACTTCTCTGCACCTCTGTTATTTAACTATAAATTGAGATACTATGACTGCCTATCTTACAAGGATTGTTGAAATAATTACATATTTCATTATGCAAAGAATTTATCAAAGAGCCTTCTCCTTATTATATGTTCAGAGTTTGCCTTTATTACTGGTATCTGTATTTGAGTGTTAGGTAAAGTTCTATGTAATAGTTCTCTGAATCTCTTTATCTTTAAAATCAGAATACAATTGTATGTACTTCATATGATTGCTGTCAAGACTCAATACGGGAACTCAAAGAAAAAATCACTAAATTATCATTTTTAACATATATTGTATGATCTAGTATTAATTTTTTAAATATTTACTTAGTGATTGGAATATAAAAGGCACTGGACATTGTGAAGAATATAAATCAGATATGGGTTCTAAGCTTAAGTGGTAATAAAAGAATATTAATACCTCTAATACAACATAGAAGATACTGAGTACCAAATCAACAGTTTAGAAGGATAGTCTTTGAGGTAAATGAACATTGAAGGACAGGAAGGATTCAGACATGGGGAATTAGTAAAAGAGGAGGGAAAAAGAAGGAATTCTGGCAAAGGAACAGTATGAGCAAAAACTAGGAGGTAAAGAAACACAAATCACATGTAGTGAAAAGTGGGTGGTATAGTTTAGCCAGAGGAGAATATATGAAGGGATGGGGGATGAGTAATTAAAATGGAGCCACTCATAAGAGAGTATGTTAAACTGCCATAATTTACAGTAAATTGTGTAAGGAATTAAAAAGGAGAGCCCAGGAGGAAAAGATATCATGGAAAAGTATTAGATAAGGTTGATATTTAGGCTTCTGCCATTATTATTCTGTGTTTAGGTTTTACGAGAGAAAAAACAAAGTCTACTGACTCTTACATTAAGTTTAAACTCATAAATATGATCTTCAAACCTTTCATAATTTGTCTCAGAAGCCAATCTTTTATCACAATACTGACAACTCTTTACTGGTTTCCTCCGAAAGTATCAAAAATACTAGGTCTCAATTTCATGTCTTGGCTGTTACTAACTCCTGGTTTATTTTCTTTGCCTTCTGATTATCTATACCAGATTTATAACCCAATCTTAAATCTCATTTCCATCAGAAAGCCTTCCTTAAAGATCTAGACGTTTCCACTCTCTTTCATCTCTGTGCACTTCATTAAATACTGACTTTATCCATTAACAACCTGAAAGAACTATCACCAATCTAGAATTAAAATGACAGGTGTCCTGGCAGCAGGTCTTCTCTCCCATTTGGGGTCTATTATTCAATATTGCAAGTTTTCTCCTGAGAAAAAGGAAGGGTTCATGAATTAGCAGACTTTAAGGTAACTTCCTGTCATTCACTCAAATATATAATGAGCACCCACCTGTGCTATGCTCTATGCCAGGTGCTGAAAATAGTGGTTAAGACGAAATATCTATGTATGCCATGATTTTCTCTTTGTAGTGCAGTGTTTCTCAAACTTTAGCCTGCATTAGAATTACCTGAAAAGTTTGTTAAAATATATTTCTGTGTTTCTGATGCAATAGATTTGGAGCAGGGCCCACAATTTTGCTGTTCTAGACATTTCCAGGTGATGTTGATGCTACCTATCCAGAGCCCTCACTTAGAGAACTCCTATTCTAGTAGACTATCTTTTTTCACTGCTGTATTTCCAATGCTTGGAATAAATATTTATAAAATGAAATAGTTAATTTAAGACACTTTGTTAATTGATAAAGGGGGCTCTTGAATGAGTTTATAGTTTAGAAGGAAAATCTCAATTCTGGTTAAAGAGTATCATCAGAAAGAAACTGATAAGAAATAGTTCATATCCAAAGAAAAACAAAATGATGTCCAACCTAGAGGAAAGAGAAGGAAGATCAAGGAAAACTTGCAGGAGTTTGTATTTGAGTTATTCTTTGAAGGATCCACACACTTATTTTTTAAATACCTGTCATTACTCAAAATATATTTAGTTCCTGTCTTTGGAATTTGTCTACTTAATCTACAGTGAATCTTTAAAAAAAAAAAAATACCCTCACAGTTCACAAATTCTTTATATTTGGAAATACCTAACTATCATACTTTTGCCAAATCTGGTCATAAAACTGGGTGATTTCGTTGCATAACCCTTTTCTTGAAAACAAGGTATGTTTTTGAGTTAAAGTACCCATTTTCTAATATGACTTATAAACAAAGGCCCAAATCAACTTTAGAGCAGAAGCTTAAAAATAATTTTGAACAATAGATTCGGTTTATAGTTTCTGAAGGTGATTTACCTGAAGGACAGCCTCCATTTGGCCGCATATGCCCTTGTGCATTTGTTTAAAAATCAGTCTTAATATACTTGATTATCTTGATTTATAGAAAGAATCAACATCTGAACATACAGTACATGGTGTGCATTTTTTTTCCTTCCCAGAGTATGCCATCTTATAAATATCTATAAGTTTAAACTTTATGGGGAAAAAAAAGCAACATAAGAATGGATGTTCTTCCAAGTTAAATCTATGAAAAATATGTATTGGTACCAGAAAATGTACACAGATTCCTAAGAGCGCTTGGTGATTCTGGGACATTCAGTTAATAGTAAATATTGACTGGGTGCAGTGGCTCAGCCTGTAGTCCTGGCACTTTGGGAGGCCGATGTAAGAGGATTGCCTCAACCCACGGGTTCAAGACTAGCCTGGGAAACTTGGTGAGACCTCGTCTCTACAATAAATCACAAAAACTAGCCAGGCGTGGTGGTGAGTGTCTGTAATTCCAGCTACTTGGAAGGTTGAGGTGGAAGGATCGCTTAAGCCCAGCAGGTGGAGGCTGCCGTGGCTGTGAGCATGTCAGCCTGGGCAACAAGAATGAGAGACCCCAACTCAAAAAAAATTAATAATAATAAATATTAGTTTATTTGTCTTGGGCATTAAGTTAAATGCTATGTCACACTGGTCCCGTATGAATGGGGCCACGTGAAACCATTCTTCTGGTTTGGAATAGGACTAAAGTGACCAAGGAAAGCCTGTGACAAATAGCATACTCTATAGTCATAGGTTTTCCCTTCTTGCTTGTCCTCAGCTACTCTGGTTTTACCCAGTCTTCAATTTCAGGGTATCTTTGGTATGGAATCAGCATGCACTAACTTACTAGATCTTCATAAAAAATTGATACTTTTTTTAAAACCTAAAAAAAAAAACCCTCACACGTTTTAACAAAGCATACTGAATTTAGTTTAGTTTGCCTGATGAAAAGTAGAAAAAAACCACTTCAAGTCCCTAGGACCAATGATTCCTAAAGGCTCCCGAGACCAGCATCACCTGACAACTTGTTAGAAATGCAAATTCTCCAGGCATACGCAATTCGAATCTGACTGGATAAACCATGGCTCTGAAGGGTTCTGTTGCATGCTCAAGTGCATTACCACTGGCTTAGATACTATCATCAGTGCAGAAACTGTCAGATAAGCTGTGCAACCTTTTGTGCATTTGACAATTTATCCTAATGGCCTACTACCCTCTTCATGATTACTACATTTAATACACACACAATTGCGCACAGCCTCCATGTCTGAGTTGTCCTTGACAGAATAGTATAAAAATGGCACAGCTTCTCTTTGTAAAGGAATGTATAGAAGGGAGCTAAATGGATTTATTTTTATTTTTTATTTACTTTTTTTTTTTTTTTTGAGTTGGAGTCTCACTCTGTCGCCCAGACTGGAGTGTAGTGGCGATCCTTCCGCCTCAGCCTTCCAAGTAGCCAGAATTACAGGCATGTGCTACCACGCCCGGCTAATTTTTTGATTTATTGTAGAGATGAGGTCTCGCTGCCCAGGCGGGTCTCGAACCCGCGGGCTCAGGCAATCCACTCACCTCAGCCTCCCAAAGGCGCGGGATTGCTGAGCCACCGTATCTTCAACACCCTCCGTTCTTGCCCTCAATGAAAAAAATGAGGGGAGAGATGGGAGCGGGGACAACAACATTACTAGTAGGTGGCAATTCTGTTTGAAATATACATGTTTTTTACACATAGCATACTTCAAGTAGAATGTTAAACTTTAACTGGAAATACTTGACTTTTATTTAGAATTAATGAAATTTATCTTTGCAAAAGTAGGTTCTATACCTAAGTTTTCCCCAGTACTAAAAAAAAGTTCCAAATAGCCTCACTGAACATCATTTTAAAAAATATTTAGATGATTACAATTTAAAATTCCTCCCTCGTACTAGCCACACTTCAAATACTCAACACACCGGCACGCTCAGTGTTTCCACTTCTGCCTGAAAAACGAACAGCAGAAGAGAAACAACCGCAATTCCTTCTTCCCTTCAAAGAAGAGTTGATGGACTCACTTCATCACATCTTATAATAAAAATCAGAACCAATCTTAATGTTCACAACATGAGGATGATGGGAGACACTGACTTAATCCGTAGTCTGAAGTCACAGATCGTTATTTATTATGAATCACTCATTAATCCTAAAATAGGTTGACGGTATGAAGGAAGGACACCGCGTCATTACGACCGCTGTGGCTGTGGGCCCCCGCGAGCAGCGGTCACACCAAGCGACGGGTGGCGGCGGGGACGCGGCTGGCACCGCTTGCGTGTCCATTTCTAAGGTCGTTAATTTTTCAAAAATGTTTTTCTAAAAAGGAGAGAATCTTTTTGCATTTTAAAGGACCAATCTCAAATTGGCTTTGAGACGTCTACGCTTTCGCCTCAGTCTGGAGCGTGCTTTTTAGATACAGGCTAGTTTAAATATGCTAGGATAAAGAGAAACGGCTACATGAAAACGTCCATGTTTGCAGAACGAAAAACACGCACGCCGACATCAGCTTTCGGTTGGCGGTTTCCCGCCGAGGGAACGGAAGCAAAACCGCCCCTGACGTCAAGAGAGGCGTCCTCTCCCGGTAACCATGGTGAAGTCTTGGCGGCCATCTTTCCTGTGGTCAACTCGCACAAAACCTGTCCTGGAGCGGGTGTTGCGGCGCCAGAGAAAGTCCGCCGAATAAGATATGGAAAAGGAGTCATGCGTCTCTGTAATAAGGAGCTCACAGAACCACGAAGGACCAAGGCGGAAAGCATGAACTAAGTTAGCTAGCGGGCTACAGATTCCGCAGACAAACGGAACGATTCAATCACATCAATCAAGTTTCCAGCCGGATTTTGATAGCCGCTTCCGTTGCTCAGCGGAAATGTGAGTCGCCAGAGGACAGACTCTTGGAAGAATCCGCTAACGACCGTGTGAGCCACCGGAATCATGTCGAGTCTGGCGGTGAGAGACCCGGCCATGGATCGATCACTGCGTTCCGTGTTCGTGGGAAACATTCCGTATGAGGCAACTGAGGAGCAGTTAAAGGACATTTTCTCGGAGGTTGGTTCCGTTGTCAGTTTCCGGCTGGTATACGATAGAGAGACGGGAAAGCCCAAGGGCTATGGCTTCTGCGAGTACCAGGACCAGGAGACCGCGCTTAGTGCTATGCGGAACCTCAATGGGCGGGAGTTCAGTGGGAGAGCCCTTCGGGTGGACAATGCTGCTAGTGAAAAGAATAAGGAGGAGTTAAAGAGCCTAGGGCCTGCAGCGCCCATCATTGACTCACCCTATGGGGACCCCATCGATCCGGAAGATGCCCCCGAGTCGATTACCAGAGCCGTCGCCAGTCTCCCCCCGGAGCAAATGTTTGAGCTGATGAAGCAGATGAAGCTCTGTGTCCAAAACAGTCACCAGGAAGCGCGAAACATGTTACTTCAGAACCCGCAACTGGCTTATGCACTGTTGCAGGCACAGGTAGTGATGAGAATCATGGATCCAGAGATTGCGCTGAAAATCCTGCATCGCAAGATACATGTCACACCACTGATCCCAGGCAAATCTCAGTCGGCCTCTGTCTCTGGCCCTGGTCCTGGCCCCGGTCCTGGCCCCGGCCCGAGTCCCGTCCCTGGCCCTGGCCCTGGCCCTGGCCCTGGGCTCTGCCCAGGACCTAATGTTCTGATGAACCAGCAGAATCCTTCAGCCCCTCAGCCTCAGCATTTGGCTAGAAGACCTGTGAAGGACATTCCTCCTCTGATGCAGACTCCTATCCAAGGTGGAATTCCAGCTCCTGGGCCAATACCAGCTGCAGTTCCAGGACCTGGACCTGGTTCCTTAACTCCTGGAGGAGCAATGCAGCCCCAAGTTGGAATGCCAGGGGTTGGCCCCGTGCCTTTGGAGCGAGGACAAGTGCAGATGTCAGATCCTAGAGCTCCAATACCTCGTGGACCCATGACTCCTGGTGGCCTACCTCCTCGAGGACTGTTAGGGGATGCTCCAAATGACCCGCGTGGAGGGACTTTGCTTTCAGTCACTGGAGAAGTGGAGCCCAGAGGTTACCTGGGCCCACCCCATCAGGGTCCTCCCATGCACCATGCTTCTGGTCATGACAGCCGTGGGCCCTCCTCCCATGAGATGAGGGGAGGGCCATTAGCAGATCCCAGACTGCTAATTGGCGAGCCCAGAGGCCCCATGATGGATCAGAGGGGTCTACCTATGGATGGTAGAGGTAGTAGAGATTCTCGAGGGATGGAGACTCGAGCCATGGAAACTGAAGTCTTAGAGACACGAGTCATGGAGAGAAGAGGAATGGAGACCTGTGCAATGGAAACCAGAGGGATGGAAGCAAGAGGCATGGATGCAAGAGCGTTGGAGATGAGGGGCCCTGGCCCCAGTTCAAGAGGCCCTATGACCGGTGGAATCCAGGGTCCTGGTCCCATGAGTATGGGGGCAGGTGGCCCTCAGGGACCCAGACAGGTCCCAAGTATTTCAGTGGTGGGAAATCCTGGAGCTGGCATGCAAGGTACAGGCATTCAAGGGGCAGGCATACAAGGAGCAGGCATGCAGGGAGGAGGCATGCAAGGAGGAGGAATGCAGGGAGGAGGCATGCAAGGAGGAGGAATGCAGGGAGCAAGCATACAAGGAGCAGGCATGCCAGGGGCAAGCAAGCAGAGTGGAGGTCAGCCTAGCAGTTTTAGTCCTGGACAGAGCCAGGTAACTCCACAAGATCAAGAAAAGGCAGCTTTGATCATGCAGGTTCTCCAACTGACTGCAGATCAGATTGCCATGCTGCCTCCTGAGCAAAGGCAGAGCATCCTGATTTTAAAGGAACAAATCCAGAAATCCACTGGAGCTTCTTGAAAGGGTTTAGAAAATACTTGTCTGTAGTTTCAGAAAGTTTATTCTGTAGCATGAAGAGTAGGTGCAAAAAGCTGACCTTTGCATCCCCACAGTTGGATTAGGGTTGCCCTCCTTCTAGAACCTAATCTCATTTCTTATTATCTTTATTTCTTCCTGTTTTCCTTTTTATTTCTAGTTGTGGGTGGGGGGAGGAGGGAGGGGACTATTCACTTTAAGTCACTGTAAGTAAACAAACATCACTCTGAATATGATTATATTATACCAAATGGAGTTACAGCAAATATGCAGCAATATGAAAGTGTCTACAATATGTTAACTACATTTTTAAAATACAGAGTAAAACTGTGTGAAAACTGCACATATAGACTAAAAGGTGACTTGTTAAAACGGTAATGTACTAAGATAGTTTTAAGACTTTTGGTTGTACAACAAAATAAAAAAGTTTACCTCAATATTATAAGATATATTTTTTGGTAAGCCATTTGAAATACAAAATCCTATTTTGGAGGCAATAGAAGGCTGTATTAGGTTAAGCATTGTTTTAGAATTATTTTAAAACATTAGAGCTAACAGGGTAAGTTTAAACTGGTGGTACTGGAATTCTTTTTTCTAAAGCTATGTTACCTGAAAAATCAGAGTGCACTTGACTTGATATTATTTTATTTATCCCACCCTTCAGACACCAGCAACATTCTGGCCTGGCCCTAAGCATGATTTTGCTGGGATGGTTCTAGGATCAGCCATACTTAAATGTGCTCTGACAAGACCCAATAATTTCTCAATAACTTCATGTTTCTCAGTAGTCTTTAAACCCTAGATTTAAATCTGAATAAATCCCTTACATCCTTCCCCAAAATCGTGGCTAGGGACCAGTTGATGTGGATGAGTTCTACACAGCTTTGAGCTTTTCAGAAATAGTGGAAGGTTTCATTCAGTAAAGCTCTCAGTTTCCTGGTATCTAGCATCCAGAATCTTAGTCTAAACATCATTTAACATGTTGCTTAGTTTTCTTATTTCAGGATATGCTTTTCTATCACCATCTTTTCAAAATAATTGAGGCCCAAGCAGGTAGAGGTATGCATATAGCCTGAATTATCTGTTCAGTTGACTAATTACTCATTTTATTTTTTGGTTCTAATATACACTCCCATGAGATATTTTTAAAAATTGGTTGGGAGATGAGGCTTACCACATTTCCTTGAGCGCTACCTAGTTTTATTTTTAAGCCATGAGTATATGGACACGCTAACATTTGTATCATAAACCAAGTAACAACAGAGACATAAATTCCCAAATAACCAGGTCATCTTCCTATGGAGAAGAAAAACCAGTATCTAGTTACAGAGGAAAAAATAACACAAAAAGAGCCGAGACTTAAAAATTGAGCTATTTTTCCTTTGCAAGGTTTTTACATTTCAAATGAGTCACTCTTTTTACAAGGCTTTCATCCCTATGCTGTTGTTCTCTACTTCCTGTTTTACTCTTTGCTGTTAATACTGTTAACTTTCCCATGTTTCCTATGTACTTTCCCTGTATTGGAAAGAATAACACCCTTGCATGTGTGGTAGTTCTTGTTAATACTGTTTCACAGTTGGTTTGATTACTTTGAAATTCTGGTTGCTTTATCCTAAAGGTTTCACTGAAGGAGTTCTAACTAAGAAATGTTACAATCTCTGTTCTAGTAAAATATCTACATTGTTTAATGCAGACTTAATAAAAAGTGTACAACAGTTAAGACTGACTGTTAAGACTGTTTATTTTTAATGAACATTACTCAAAAGTCATCCATTCTTGATATACATGGGGCCTGATTACCTTTTCTTTTTTCTTCTTTTTTTTTTTTTTTTGCAAGAAAAGGCAAAACTAATGACATTTTAGGAATGGATGGAACTCCCTTTCTTCCACCCGTTGTATACTTATAGTTGACAACTGAAATAATTATAAAGATGCTCTATTTTATGGTTGGTATCAGTAGCAACTTCTTGGTGATACTCAGATATTAGGCTTTTTGTTTATGTTCCTTAGAGGGAACTCCTTATATTTTAGTAATACCTTGTAGTTATCTTCGTTACTGACAGCATTTGTTACACTGCAGTGTATTATGCGTAATTTTACCCTCTACTTTTCACTGTCACTTGTATTAGTCCACAAACTGAACACAGGAACTATCTTACTCATTTCTGTATTCACTATAACAAAAATTACATGTGGGAATAAGGATAGAATATTCTATCAGAGTATCGGAGCAAAATACCACTAAGACAGGCTTACCCCATAAGGATTTAGATTCAGATTCAACACAGAACAAATGAGTTATAACAACTATTTTTTTTTTTTTTTTTTTTTGAGTTGGAGTCTCACTCTGTCACCCAGACTGGAGTGCAGTGGCCACTCCTGGCCACCGCAGCCTCGACCTGCTGGGCTCCGGCGATCCTTCCGCCTCAACCTTCCGAGTAGCCGGAATTAACAGGCGCGCGCTACCACGCCCTGCTGATTTTTTTATTGTAGAGATGAAGTCTCGCTGCCCAGGCGGGTCTCAAACCCACGGGCTCAGGCAATCCACTCACCTCAGCCTCCCAAAGGCGTGGGATTACAGGCTGAGCCACCAAGCCCAGCATAACAACTGTTTTAATTAGAAAGCCATTTAGATGATAAAAAAAAATTACCTTTACTCTGTTAAAGCTAATAGAATAGATTCTCCTCACTTGTAATTCATTGTCTGAATGTCCCAGTATGGATGTAAAGTATAGAGCCTTATTTCATTTGATAGTAAGAACAATGCAGCAGTATTTGCTGTGATCAGAATCTTTTACATGTTTTACTACACAAACATTGATTACAACCCTCCCCCACCCCCACCCTGCATCCTACATTTTCCCTAATATGGATAGACTAAAATGAAATCACAAATCCATTCATAATAATGGATGAAGATGTTGGGAGTGGAACTCTGATTTACTAATGCTTCTTTAGGGCTTATCCTCTTGGGCAGTGCATGCTTCTCAGGATTATGAAATGATCAACTTTAATCAGTGCCTGCCCATTAGCCTTTCTCCTCTTGTGTTACTGGTGATTAATACTAATAATGTGTTTTGACATCTGTTGACTTCCTAGGATTTATGATTTTGGAGTATTTGATAAAATACAAGCTATTGTGAATCCCATGCAAAGGTAGGCTAATCTGAGCGAGATGTATGACTTTTCAACTACGCTTCAGAATCTTAATGATAGAAAAACATTTTAAAAAGAAAACCCTTAATGTAATCACAGCTTGCAGAACTTGTTGCTTTTCCATGCTGTGATGGGACATTAAGCACACAGAACCTAATTTCCTATGGTGTGTCTAGGCCTTTTTCTGAGGTCTGATGAGGTCTAAGGATAATTATGTGCAACAACCTACTGTGGCAGAGAAACTGAATTATCAGTCACATCTCGCAGTCTTCTCACAAAAGAATGTCAGCATCTCACTGCTTTATATTGTCAGCTAATCTCTAGACAGACTTTTGACTGAAGCTTGCTTTTTTCATCAGTCTAGTCAAGAATGCTCTATATTTTAGAAGTAATTCATATTAAGGAAATTAACTACTAATATATTAAACCTAAATATAATAAATGTTAATGTTAAACTAAGAATATATATTGGCATATATATTTCATATATATATTTCAGATCTTAACTGGGTCTTTTAAAAAATCTTTTACTGGACAGATTTTTAAATATATTCGTTTACTTTTATGCACTCTGAAGCAAAAGTTCCTTTGGTTGAAAATTCACCTTCACAAATATATTAAAACTTACTTTTTATAGGAGATAGTAACTATCATGTGTCTTCTTGGTATTTTTCTGCCATGATATGTAACTTATATTAGTGGAGGTCATGTATTGTGTCAAAAGCCACAAACCTGTTCCTTATTAAATACTGTACAAAAAAATACCCAAATATTTACCTAGAAAAAGGAACAAGATGTTCTGCTTGATGACAACTCTTTACAACCAGGAATTGATTTAGATCCCAAAGTAGGTAACTAATTATACAACAAAAAACAACATGACCAGAAATGTTGGCTCACACCTGTAATCACAGCACTTTGGGAAACCAAGGAAGGAGGGCTGCGTGAGCCCAGGAGTTTGAGACCAGCCTGGGCAACATAGACCTCATCTCTACCAAAAAAAAAAAAATCAGCTGGACATGGTAGCACATGTCTGTAGTCCCAGCTACTTGGGAAGTGAAAGGATCACCTGAAGGCAGGAGGTCAAGGCTGCAGTGAGCCATGATTGTGCCACTGCACTCTAGCCCAGATGACAGAGTGAGAATCTGACTCGAAGAGAAAAAAAATTCTCAACCATAATTAATTTTGTCTTATTCAGTATGTATAATATCTGCAGATATTTGAAATGAGTTTCATATGTTAAACAAAGGCTGGTCATTTAAAAAATTATTTCCACTTGATTACTTATTTGTCATCTCTCACTAAAGTAGAATGAATAATCTCTTGGGCATCAAGAAATGAAAACAGCAGTTTCCCCCAAATTATTTTGTCTCCTTTATTTCATTAGCTGTTTTAGTCATAATTCTGCCTTGTGACATTACAAATATTCTTCTTTAATTTTACTGCAAAAGTCTCTGTCCCACTTTAATGTACTTGTCAACCTCTGATTGCTCTACCTCACCTTATTGCCTAGAATGAGTGTAAAGCAACCTGTACCAATTTAGGAATCTACTTATAAATTTTTCCTTCGACATTACTGTAAGGGTTTGAAATTAATCTATCTCAGAAAAAGACACATTCGCTAAAACTAAGTTCTCAATTTCCTTTATCTTAAATGTTCATTTTAATATTCAAAATGTGTACTACATTTTAAAATGGAATCGTTGAGTTAATAATGTGATGGAAAGGTCAATATGGGACTTGCTTGGTGCCTCAACATTTATAAAATCATACTCCATATCTCAAATATCACTCTTGTTCTCATGTTAAATCAATACAGCAACATAAGTCAGGACTGAAAACATTGCCAAACACAAACCTGTGCCAGGAGGTAAACAATCATTGCCTAGAATATATTTCCTATCTTCAGCTAAGCCTATATCCAAAATGATTTCATCATTTTCACTTGTCAATCATGAGGAAAATATGATCCTCACCTAAAGCAACAGAGAAATTACATTGTTGAAACATCTAAAATCATTGTCAATGTTATCAAAGTTTTGTCCTCTAAAGTTTTTAAATATCTTTGGACAGGAACCTCAAATTGGTGGTCTCTGGGAAATTTGAGTCTATAGAAGTGTTTTATTGACAAGCCCAATTTCTTTCCTTCCTTCCTTTTTTTTTTCTTTTGAGTTGGAGTCTCACTCTGTCACCCAGAATGGAGTACAGTCGCAGGGTCATCACGGCTACTGCAGTCCCGACCTGCTGGGCTCAGGCAATCCTTCTACTTCAGCCTTCCAAGTAGCGGGAACTCCAGGAACATGCCACCATACCCAGCCAATTTTTAAATTTATTGTAGAGATACGGTCTTGCCAAGTTTCCCAGGCTGGTCTCGAACACTTGAACTCAGACAATCATCTTGCCTCTGTCCCTCAAAGTGTTGGGATAACAGGTGTGAGCTATTGCTCCTGGCTTCTTTTTTTATTATTATTTTATTAAAGTTTCATCTTTCCAAATGTACAGTTAGTTGGACCTGATAATGCATCTGCACTAGCAGCCAGGATTTCTCCACTCGGTATTTCTGGTGTAAACTACTTGAGCTCTATGCTTTGAAACCAGTTTCACAAGTCCTTCACTAAGGAGCGCCTGAAGGGCTGCCCTGGCCAGGGAGCTGTGAATCTTCAGTCTCTCAGAGACCACAACTGGGATTATAAACTTATAGTTGGGAATTCCCTTACAGAGTTTGCCATATGTAGCTTTGTCAGACAAGACTGGATTACTGAGCTTGTCCCAAATTTTGCCTTTGAACCCTTCTTTTTTGGCCTTGCCTCTAGATTTGTTCCCTGGGTCTTTGTCTTTCTTAGCCAACTTTCCAGGGGTCTGTCTTCTTCTTGTCCTTGGGAGGCATTGTGAAGCTCGGAGGGCAGTGGTAACCATTGTACCTTGCTAAGAAGTTGACAAAAAGGAGGCTCTGCTCAGGAACAGGCCCAGAAACCACTGCCCACTGTAATCAGGGGCCTGGCAATGCAATTTTCTCAAATATTTAGAATGTAGATGCCTCTAGGTACAGATTATATTCTCCAGTTTGGCCACAAGCCTAATCTCTTCCTGTGAGTTTATATGAGATGTAATTCACACAGTCACCTACATGCCAGTCCCCATAATCCTTTGGACTCACAACTCCTACTTTTCTGTATAAAAACATAGTTATTGGATTCAACTAAAATTATTGCTGTCTAATAGGACAAATGTGAAATAGAAAAATGTTCAGCAACTGGTTCTGCAAGTATACTCCTACAGAACCAACCACCAACAAAACAAACAAAAACCTGTAGCAAACAAGAACAAAAAGCATGATGCATTTTTTATTTGTAGATTTTCATGAGTTATACTGAGCAAAGAAATGTCCTAGAATGCTATCCCAATGAATATATTCCTCCCACAAACTTTTTGTTTTCAATGAATATTAATTCAAAATAGCTACATCTTATTTTTGAATTCAGAAACATAAAATAATATATATCATAAATATATATAATGTTAAATATTAACAGCTCTAGAATGAACTTATGGATAGTACACATA